CTCGAGCGTCTGTCGTTAGAGCACCTTTAGAGGTCAGAGGAGTAAGGTTTCCCTGCACAGCACTTCACACTCACTCCCCTAAACCCCACTCCCATCCGGGTTACGGCACCATTGTAGCCCAACCGGTCCTACTGCATCCAACCCGCTTCAAGCTGGGATCGAACCGGCGACTTTCCGCATGGGAATTGGTTGCTCTACCAAGGAGGCTTACTTGCACAGTACTTTACTAGCTGGCCTTCGTTACATAAACATTAAATAAAAAGTTAAAAAAGGTATTATTTATTTATTTCATATATTAAGTTATTAGTTATGATTCTCCCAAAATCATTCTGCATAATTTACTTTACAAACCTCAGCACAGCAATAGTGAAAAATGTCTGCAGATTTTGTCTGACCATAGCCATAATTTACAAATAGAATATGAAATTATTTACTTGAATAGTTTCAGCAAAACAATACTTTACAAAGAATATTTTCTCTCATTAATGAGTCTACTCTCAATTGCTTTTTAAAAATGCATGTAATAGCACAAAGCATATCTAAAATGATCAGTTACACGAATAAAAATAAACCATTCATTTCTTCCTGATACTGAGATCCTTCTGACATCTAGCTAGAGTTGCAAATAAGCTATTTAATCTGGACAGATCAAAGCAAAGGTTTTGTCTTGTCTTTTACTCTCGTCAGTGCATGGAGAACATCAGAAACTCAATGTGCATCTGTATACACCTGCACTGTAAATGACAGCAGCGATTATAATTGGTTCTAGTACTTTTGTCAGAAAATGTCCATCAGTGACTGTCTGAGTGACAGTGGGAGTGGTCTATGCTCTGGAGGCGGAGTTTATATTCCACTGTGACATCATATGACACCTCATTGACAAACAAAACATTTTTACAGCTCTATTAAATAAACACTTTTGGGTTGCTTTTATTTTAAGGTGTCATTGTTACAGTGTAACTATTCATTTAACTACCGGGTAATATAAATTAATTGCACATACATTTATGAACCAGGATGAGAGTATTTATGCACGTAATTATGCACAATAATTGTAATTACTTAGTAAGTACTTGAAACATGTAACAAGGACACCTTAAAATAATACGTTACCATGCTTTGTTTAAAAAGAGAAGAATTTTTAAAGCAGGATATTTTTAACAGAAACAGGTTTCTTAAATGTCAAACTATTAGCTTTGATTTGACGTCATGACCATTTTAAAACTGCATTGAAAGCTTTATCACAGATAAACTATGAAGTCTGACTCTGTTGTGATTGTGTGAGAGAGAAAGAGAGAGAGACCCTCACCACAGTCCGCAGGTGGTGTTTAGTTGCTGTGTGCAGACAGTTATAATAACAGTTTCTCAGCGCTTCTTCTTCTCTCTCTCCCACTGAATCATGGACTATCGGCCCCACGGTGTGAATAACATCTGTGAAACAGAGAGAGAAAGACAAAGACAGAGCTCAGTCATACGAAAATATTTGAATGGCTTTCATAACTTCAGCAAATGATATACTTCTTTTCAGCAGGAAAAGCTGATGAAAAGAGACAGTAAATACATTTATAATGCTGTCACAGATAATATATATATATATATATATATATATATATATATATATATATATATATATATATATATATATATATATATATATATATATATATATATACACACAGTTGAAGTCAGAATTATAATCCCTCTTGCATTATTAGCCATCCTGTATATTTCCCCCCTAATTTCTTTAAGTTTATCGCAAAGATTTTTTCAACGCATTTCTTAACATAATAGTTTTGATAACTCATTACTAATTTATTTTATCTTTGCCATGATGACAGTACATAATATTTTACAAGATACTAGTATTCAGCTTAAAGTGACATTTAAAGGCTTAACTAGGGTTATTAGGTTAATTGGGTGACTCATTGTAGAACAGTGGTGTTTTCTGTAGACAATCAAAAAAATTATATATATATATATATTTTTTTTTTCTATTCTGCCGCCCTAGACGCAGCTTTAACTGAGGCGCGGGTGACGAGTGTAGTTTAGGGGACGCCACCCTCTCTTTTCTGCCGTGCTAGACGCGGATATAACTGAGGCGCAGGTGGCAGGTGGTTTTTTTTAATTTTAAAAAAATTAAACTGCTTATATTCTAGACGAAATAAAACAAATAAGACTTTCTCTAGAGAAAATCACTTGGGAAAGTGATTATATATAAATATATAAAGAGAGATAATTTATTCTGATCTATTTTTGTATTGATTTGTATGAATAATTTAATACGTTAAATAATAATATAATATATTGAATATTAATGTGATATATTGAATAATATGATGTATTGTTGATATTTTATTTAATTATTATATATAAATATCATTTTTTTTTATTTATTTATTTATTTTTACTACTATTATTTACTGTGTGTACTGTTTTTTTTTTATATATATGCATGTCACTTTTTATGTAAACTTTATAAATGCTTTGGCAATATATTTGTAACATTTGTCATGCCAATAAAGCAATTATTGAATTAAACTGAATTGAGAGAGAGAGAGAGAGAGAGAGAGAGAGAGAAAGAGAGAGAGAGAGAGAGCGTTATTTCAGCTTATTCAAATTTAAGTATGTACATGAGCAGATTACATATAACGTCAAGGTAAACATGCAAATAGAAGCAAGTTGCTGTTGTGTGAATGCAAGCAACTTGGCTCAGTTGTTTTAAAAATAATGTAAGGTAAAAAAACATCCTGCTAGAAATCCAGAGCGAGTGATGCAATCCACGTGCTCCCAATGCTTTTAGTGTGAACCCGGCGTTAGTTTAAAAAAGCCTAAACAATTGAAGATTTCAAACTTAAACAGTAAACAGTTCATTTTATTTATATTATTTTTTATACATTTTTTGCAAGTACACATTTAAAACAAACCTTACCATAAGGAGAACACAGAATAGATTTATTAAATTACTGGATTTTTGGTGGAAAAAAGTAGAGTATGTTATTAGAGCTCAACATTTAACATTCAAACTTACAGTTAATTCAGATTAAGAGTTGCACATTTGAACAGATTCTGAAATGAACGTAATGTTTTTCTCAAAACAAACTCCCAACTAAAGCTATAGTCAAATGTTTAATTTGACAGCTTGGTATGAAGATGCTGTAATTTTCTTTGTTCACATGACAATAGTGTTTCTCACATAAAATTATAAAATATTGTTGAAGTGACTTTAAGATTCATTCATCCATTTTCTTTTCCGCCTAGGCCCTTTTATAGTCAGGGGTCGTCACAGCGGAGTGAACTGCCAACTTATCCAGCATATGTTTTGTACAGATGATGCAACCCATCACTAAGAAACATCCATACACACTCATTCACACACATATACTATGGACAATTTAGCTTCCCCAATTCAACTATAGCGCCTGTCTGTGGACTTATGGGGGAAACTAGAGCACCCAGAGAAAACCCACATCAACACGGGGAGAACATGCAAACTCCACACAGAAATCCCAGCTGACCCAGTCGAGGCTCAAACCAGCAACCTTCTTGCTGTGAGGCGATCGTGCTACCCACTGTGCCACCGTGACACCACTGACTTTAAGATCAGCTCTGGAAATAAAGCTTGTGTTTATTTCCTCAAACAGTAAGACAGCATCAGTCTGAACGCCATGACTGTCACACTCATCAGTATGGGTATAATAAACTCTGCCATTCATTCACACAGATATGCAGTAAACGTGAAGAATTTGTAAATAGCCTCCTGTGGTTTAATATTCACAGACAACAATCCAGACACCGAATTGATTTTGTATACAGCACAACTTTTTAGTTATTCATTCAGTGCATTTTCTGCATTGTAAAAATCATGGGATCCTACAGTATACTGTAAATATTAAAATGACACAGTTAAAAACAAAATTATTCGCCCTCCTGTGACTTTTTATTTTTTTATATATATATAAACTACTAAGAGTGTGATATTGCGTTTATACAACAGTTCGACGGCACAATCTTCTACATAAAAAAGAAAATCAAACACAGAGAGTCTAAAACCCTTTTGTATTAGGAACTACTTTCTTCCGCCATTCATTCACATCTGCAGCAGAACAGCAGAAGCCGTTACTAATTCACCAACGTCATTTTAGAGCTAGTATTTCAATGTTTCTCTATAGCGTAATGTGAAGCGGCGCTTCGGGTGTGTGATTCCCTTAGGGTGATGACAAAACAGCAAATTTTGCTCACATTTTAAGACTATAAGGCTGAATGTGACATGAAACGCCATCCGTCCACAGAGATTTCCCACCAGACTGCTGTTGTGTTTGCGATAAGGAGGGACAAGGCTAAAACCAGCTTCTTATTCGCAGCTTCTTATTGACTCTATCCGGTCCACTTTAAAAACCATGAGGCTTCCGTTTTTCAGCTTTTTATTCGCTATTTAGCGCTTTTTATTTGCTATTTAATGAGCAAGGGCTTATTATGCGGTTCTGGCGCCATCTTGTGGATAGACAACGTCAATCGTCTTTTTTAAAAAGGCACTATTTTTACAAATAAACTGCATAGTTGCAATTTAAACAACAACATTCTCGACTAAAAAAAGCCTCAAAAGTACATTTTGTGGTCTAACAACAGTAATATTTGTCAAACTGTTGCGTCTGTACTTGTTGCTAGCTGTATATGGGCGGAGAATTACACGGAGGTGAAGGGTGAAGAGGCCTTTGTGTGATATTCTGGCAAAATATCGCACGGCTATCAGCCAATCATATTCAAGAACCAGACAGAAATGTTGTATTAATTAACTAATTATAGAAAAATATTAAATAAAAATGTAAAAATCATTTGAGAAATTAATAAATTTTTACATTTTTATTTAATATTTTTCTATAACATATAAATTTGGCTGCACTAGTTTCCTGACTGTTATCGAAAGTTATTTTGTTAGATAAGCTCAAGATTTGGCTTCAGTACTGACCAATCTAATGTATATGCACAAATATAATATTGTATAGCTTCCTATTAAAAATATGAATTTAAAAAATAGATTTGTGAGGTGTGTGTACTTATAAATGCTGAGTACTGTATATTGTTTACCCAGAGTGTTGGCATAGTCATACAACAAGTATTACAACAAGCATTTAGTTTGGGCTCTTTTGCAGCTGGACATGGCGTTACGATGCCCTTGATGGGTGAGTGTGGGAGTGTCTTTTGTCTCTCCGGGTGTGAATTTTTCATGACCATTGTCACTCCCACGCATAGAGCTGAGATGAGCTAAAACAAACTTAACAAATTGTGAATCATTGTAATGTTTTCTTTGAATGAGAGAACAAAACAATTTTCACATAATTGTGAAGTAAATATTCTAGCCTACGAGACTGGTTACTCAACAGTCTTGTTCAGGCACATTCACTGTGTGTTTTGGACATTATCTCAGCTACATTTCTTTTTATAAAACCTACTAACCACACATAATATTTTTTTCCAAATAATGCAAGCAATTACATTGATATTTCTAACATATTATTGTAGCACAGCTTGTGCTGAATACAAAAAAAAAAACATGTAGGCCAATACTATGTAATAAGTATCTGAAATAAGCATAAATGTCAGGGCATGTCAAAATATCTTAGGGACCCCAGAGGGTTAACAGAGCAAGGAATTTGTCACAGTATTTCCTATAATATTTTTTTTTTTATTTTATGATATATTCTTTTGTTTGTTTTATTTCGGCTAGAATAAAATCAGTTTTTATTTTCTTTAAAACCATTTTAAGGTTAATAATATTAGCCCCCCATAAGAATAATAAAATTAATAATAATAATAATAATAATAATAATAACAATAATAATGAGAATAAAAATTATAATAACAATTTTAATAATAACAATAATAAATGATAATATTAATAAAATAATAATCATAATAATCATAAAAACAACAACAACGATAATAAAATAATAATAATAATAATAATAATAATAATAACAATAATAATGAGAATAAAAAATAATAATAACAATTTGAATAATAACAATAATAAATGATAATATTAATAAAATAATAATAATAATAATAATAACAACAATAATAATAATAATAATAATAATAATAATAATAATTATTATTATTATTATTATTATTATTATTATTATTATTATTATTATTATTAAAACAATTGGGTAATCATTAAATTTAAGGATACTGTGATATGTTCATTCCTGGCAGATAACTCAGTAGAGGAATTTATGTTTAAGTTACACACTAAAGAGACACCAAACATGTAGAATTTAACAGTGCTGTCTGTATATCAGTATCAGTATAGTAAGAATTTGGCCTTGTAATGCAGTGCGGCTGACAAAGAAATAGCTGACTATTGGAAGTGGTACTTGGCTTGTGTCTTCATATGATGATATATGATAATATATTATCATTCATTCATT